AAACGCCATAAACACACATACACGTAGGTACGAACTTTCAGTAATATACACTTTACGTTCACATGCAAATGTTAATGTCTTTGTCCATTGCAAGGTTCGTTGTTTAATACATATACTTGTTGATATATATGTTTTCTTTACATCTTCGGTTGGACTCAACTTGAGTCCGCCAGTTTCTTGTAGTTGTTTCTTCTAGAAGGAATAAACAGCACGCGTTCCTAATTCAACAACACGTAAACCCACGGTCCTCTACAGTGTCACTGTTAAGAATACAGATATGATAACCGCCAAGCCGGGTTGAGTGTGTGTGTGTGTGGGGGGGGAATTCAGATTCGCTTTCTAAGGGATCCAAAGTTAATATTTATTTAGTGTCCAGTTTCAATTAACCGTGACTACGAAAATTCGCTAACAAAATTCGGTAGAAAAATTTTACTATTTTAAAATATAACTTAATTCAACACATATATCTAGGTAGCGCCAAGGACGAACATACATGATGAAAAAAAAAATGTCCGATACGTAATAATAAACAGTTTTATCATCAAAATAATTGTGTTATTACTCGTAGGAAAGAACAAGGAATTTTTTATGTGCAAGTCTTCTTTTTAATCCTTATTAGAATCTTCGAAATTTTAGTTAAAAATCTTGTTTCTCTGGCGCCAACGGAGAACCATAAATCAGTATGGAAAATTCGAGCATCAATTTTTGCGGGGGAAAAACACAATGATTTCGAAATTCTTGCAACAATCCGATAATTGTCGGATTTGAATAAATCTTTCAGAAGTTACTCACAGATGAATTATTTTTTAAACGTTTCTTTTATAGAAAATCTTGGTAGTTTTTTTTTTTTGTTTGTTTTTTTTTTTACATTTGTTACTCCATGTTTATTTAGTCTTTCGAAATTTCGAGTGACTTGTTGTGCCTTCTCTGGATAACGTTCTCGGTTGACATGAAGTCGAAAGACTACATTGAATTCATTGTAAGTCAACTCCGAAGAAAATTGTTTCACTGTGTTGTGCAAGACAATGATCCAGTTGATAAAGACGTTGGTTAGATCCAAAGAGTTGTGAGTTCAATACCGTGCCACAGCAAAAACTTGAGATGAATTGAAATAACTGAGACATCCAGAAGAGGCATGGCACGTGGAACGAGAAAGATCTACCCCACTTTCATGTGCCATACCTCTTCCGGATGTCTCAGTTATCTCCCTTTAACTCAACTCTCTAAGTTTTTGTTCAGCCCTGCCGTAGCTAGGTATTGAACTCATAACTCATTGGGTCAAGTCACTGGATCCGCTTTTATCCACTGGGCCATGTGTACTTGAATTGTTGGGACTTATAAACTTAATGTCTCAGTAATAATTTTTACCAGAGTTCATATTGCAATTTTATTGTTGTTGCTGCTTTTCTCTAGTATTCTGTATTACTGGTTCACATATTGTATTCATTTCTATGCTTGACTGGCTCAGGAGATTTTTGTACCCTAGCATATGTGCTGATTCCTTAAGTTTTCGTATTTTCTAGTGATGCTATTTGTCTGTTATTTCAACCTCATCTCACAGGGGACGGTGATCTCCCTTTTCCCTCATTATGTGGTCAAAGGATAAGTAGTTGTAGAGAACCCTGTTAGCCTAAAGTGACACGACACATGAAAATATTCCTGTGGTTATCCGCGGATAACTGAAACTTTAGAGAGAAAAACCGCCGATAATTGGGGATTAATTTGTCATAAATATTTATATAATGAAAGATTCATGAAATCGCATTTAAAAGTCCATCTGGTTTTTCTAGTTTTTCAAGAATACTTCATGATTTTATACCAGGTCACAGGCAAAGGCATTCTCCACATTGTCCTGCATCTGATAGTCATACTAAAATGTTAATAAACTAAAGTTTTCTAAATAAGATTAAATACGTTAACAAAGAGAGAATGCCCATAAATTATATGATTTAATGTATAAGGTGACTTGTATTCACACCGCACGTACGTGATGGTAATAATAATTGTAATATTATCCGTTTCCTGATATGAAAGCAACTGACATTTACTGACTTAGTAGCCACTGAAATATATATATATATATATATATATATATATATATATATATATATATATATTTTCTATGAAAACATTTTTCCAAGAAAACACGTTTATGAAATCCACTGTTATCGCACTTTTGAGTATTAACGGGGGACTTCTTCCCCAACATTTTGTTCGATGTAGAACGCCATTGTGTTTTGCCGATGTTGAAAGTTTTCATGTGATGTAGTTTCTGTTCTTTGGTATTATGACGCGTCAGTCCACGAGATTTGAAAAAGGACGGTCCTCACTTCATTCGCTCGAAGCCATTTTTAATCATTTATCCGAGAAAGCGATTGTATCTAGAAGATAGTTTAGACATTTCTGAACTAACTGGACGCTATGCATGACATTCACATTAATAGCTCGATCTGATGAGGCTATTTAAGAACAGGACTGAAGTTTTAGGGTGTTTTCGTTTTCTAGGATATTGCAGTGCCGGACAAAACTCTCTAACGTAGATTATTCTACGTTCAATTTCCGTATCTCCTGTAATAAATTTGTGTTTTTGCTTTTTTTTAATCATTTCACCTCAAGTAAGATAATAAAGCCACTCAGACGCAACGGGTTACTGAGTGTAAAAAAAATTAAGAAAAAGAAAAACATTGTAAAGGAGTGAGAACAATGAAAGAAGAGGAACCAAGAAAATAGTAGATAACGATTGACATTGCATAAATGTGTCTGGGCTGGTATCTGCCACAAGGATAAGCTAGCCAACCTAACAGCCGAGAATACTCGTAAACGAGCAGCATGTCATTCAATTATTAAATGATAATTCTAAGGTTTTTTTATTGCAAATCTTCCCAGTCATTTATAATTATGCAATTTTAATAGGTTTATTTTAATCATTTCACCCCAAGCATGGCAATAAAGTCACTAATGTGAAAGAATATGAGATAAAGAAAAACATTATTACGTAGCGAGAACACTAAAAGAAGTGCAATCAAGCTGACAGTAGATAACGAGTTTCATTGCATTTAAATGTTTAAAGATCAAAGTTGGCTGGAAATCAAGAAGCTGGGAGGGAGTTCCACAAGCGCTAAATTCGAAAAAAGAAACTGTTAGTAAAGTATTTACGGTTGCATCTAGTCAATTCAATTGTAAAATGATGAGACCTAACAGCCAATCTAGTACTGCGCTTAAATTCACAAAGTCAATGTACCACAGGACAAAATTTATCAGAACAATTCCCATGAAAGTATTTATAGAAAAGGCACAGGGGAAGCTACATTACGGCGGTGGGGAAATTAACAGAAGTTGGAATGCTAGGTCAGGACCATTAATATTGCGGATTCTTTGGATTTTATCAAGAATCTCTGAATCTATAATAGAAGCACAGGACAATATATGGCAGCATTATTCAAAAACATTAAAACGAATGGTAAGCTTATAAATATATAAGATAGATTCTGGAAAAAAGAATTGTCTAATACGACACAGTGAACCAACTTTCTTAGGAGCAGACCTAACATTTCATTCAATATAATATTTCCATTTCATGTCAGCAGCCAATGCTAGCCTGTGAAGGCACGACGAGTTTAAGTAGTTAAAACTGATCCATACACAAGCATATTCGAAGTGTTTATTATTTACGAATTCGAGATCCCGAATTTTTATGATGGATCCAGGTTATGTGCCATAACTTCTTTTATTCGAATTTCTGTTCTGGAGAGGTTTTTCTTTAGTTATATTCCTTGGAATATGTTTTTTTTTTTTTTGTTCAAGTCCATAAGTGGATAAGATGTAAAAATTATGAAAAGAAACAATGAAGACGGACGGAAAAATAAATTATTACACAAAAAGCCCGGAAACGTTTCGATTGATAAAACTATCCGTCTGGTAAAGATTTGAGAGGGGTATCAGATTCTTAAGAATATTACCCCTATTTAAGTCACTTGGCGGTGGTGGTGGGGGGGTATTTATTTTAAAAAATATCTAAAAACATATGCATTCAAGAAGGAAATCCAATTTGTAGGGATTATCTTAGCTTAAACACCGGGAAAACTATTCTTGTCGGTTTGAAAAAGAAAGACAGAAAAAAAGAAGAGATAGAAAGAAAAAGAAAGAAATACAGAAAGATAGAAAGAAAGAGACGGAAAGCAGAAAGAAAGAAAGAAAGAGACGGAAAGCAGAAAGAAAGAAAGAAAGAGACGGAAAGCAGAAAGAAAGAAAGAAAGAGACGGAAAGCAGAAAGAAAGAAAGAAAGAGACGGAAAGCAGAAAGAAAGAAAGAAAGAGACGGAAAGCAGAAAGAAAGAAAGAAAGAGACGGAAAGCAGAAAGAAAGAAAGAAAGAGACGGAAAGCAGAAAGAAAGAAAGAGACGGAAAGCAGAAAGAAAGAAAGAAAGAAAGAAAGAGACGGAAAGCAGAAAAAAAGAAAGAAAGAGACGGAAAGCTGAAAAAAAGAAAGAAAGAGACGGAAAGCAGAAAGAAAGAAAGAAAGAGACGGAAAGCAGAAAGAAAGAAAAGAAAAGACAGAAAAAAAGAAGAAAGATAGAAAGAAAGAAAGAGAAAGAAATACAAAAAGATAGAAAGAAAGAGACGGAAAGCAGAAAAAAAGAAAGACAGAAAAAAAGAAGAAAGAAAGAAATAAAGAAAGAGCCGGAAAGCAGAAAGACAGAAAAATAAAAGAAAGAAAGAAAGAAACGGAAGAAAGAAAGAAAAGACAAGACAAATAAAAAGAAAGAAGACAGACAGATAGGACAAAGAGAGCCAGAAAGAATGACAGACAGACAGAAAAAGAAAGAAAGATAAAAATAAGACAGACAGATAGAAAATGTTGAAAGACATGGCACCTCCTAAGATATACGCACACACACACACACACACACACAATATCTGTCTGAACTTCTGGGAGGGGAAGTTAGCTTTTTTTACATTCAGATTTCTTCATTTTCATTTTGTCTTCATTATCACAATATTTTCACTGGTTCACGTACGATCACCGAAGTTAAGCAAAGTCATGCCCGGTCATTACTGAGGTGGGTGGCTACTTGGAAGTACCAGGTGATGTAAGTTTGGATGTGCGGGTGGTGTAAGGGATAACGGCTCGGAATTGGACATCGGAGAGCTGAGTTCCAGTTCTAGTCCTGTTCGTTTTAGTCACGCCCAAATACCTTGCGGAATGGTATGAATCCCTCTCTTCCCCACCCCACCAGCTATCGATTAATTAGTAGGACTTTTATCAGTAAATCGTTATCTCAAAAAGAAATTCTTACAATCTAAAAATATTTCCTATTTTAAATAACCTACAAAAGGTTTATAAGCCGTGAAAATCAAATTAATCCACCACAACGTTTCGGCTGTTGCGCCTCTCAACCTTCTTCAGGTGACTGTCGATCTTAGTAGGCTTCACTTCAAAATTCTCTGAAGATTACCCGGAAGGCTGGAGAACACAACTGCCAAAATGTTGTGATAAGAACAAGAAAGATATGGTCACTCGTCCCAAATGCAAATAATGTAAATACATACACACACATACATTATATATATATATATATATATATATATATATATATATATATATATATATATATATATATATATATATATTTTTTTTGGATTGATGTGAGTTTGTGACCCTGGGTTTCACGCTTTAGCGATCGTCAGACAAACTGATTAAATTTTTTAAAATTTTGGGTTTATATAGATTGTGTGTATTGGTGTTATGGGAGTGGGGAGAATCGTCGTCGTGATGTCATCGTGCTAACGCAAACATAGATGCATGTTCATACGCCCGATGAGGTACACAGACACACATACACACCTGGTCGTTCGTCAGGACTCATACATATATAAACATATGTGGACAGTTTTGGATTTGACATATATGGTCGGTGTTGTGTCTATACATACGCATTTTTATGTTGAAATTCAAAGATTGGAAGTGCAGCGAAAATTTCTCGTCAATGTAAAAAATCAGAGCATTTTTCTATTTTTCGACTGAATAATGTTTCCTCGCATGTATGTATATACGTGTGGTGGGGTCTGTGTAAATTTATGATAGGTAAAAATTATTATTATTTTTAATTTTAATTTTTAAAAAAAGGGTTTATTTGTTATATTTTAAAGCTGGTTACTTGCTTGTTTTTGATGACTGTGTATATGTAACTGGTAGACATTTCGGTTTGTAATCCTTATTTTTTATGGTGATATTTAATATGCTGGGGGAGGGGGTAGTTTACGTTAATAATTATAGCGGGTCTATATGATAACAGTAGATGTGATGTGGTAGTAATGTTGTAAGGGATTAGAGACAATGATAATATAAGTAGCTAATAGTTATTGTAAATTGGTAGAAGTGATTAGTAATGGTGGTGGGAGAATGATAAAATAAATAAATGTAATTATTGTGATGGTAGCTTGAACTAAAAAGTGGTTGTTGGTGTTTTATTTTATTTTGTTATATGTATTAATTTATTTTGGTATAAATCCTGATAATAGGTATTCTGTGTAAAATTATGATAGTTGAAAATACACACACTTTTCACACACACACACACACACATCCGTTAGGTGAAACCTAAGTAGATAGGTTCTGGCTCTTTAGGTTTTCTAGTTTTTGCTCTACTTAGTGCATTGAGCACTTTTACGTTAATCTGTCGGTGTTTTTTTTTTTTTTTTTTTTTTTTGTCTTTTGGCTTGACATTGCGGTGCTGGTTAATTATTTTATTTATTATTATTTGATGGGCTTGAGTAAATGGATGGTAGATGTTATATAGGAATAAAGTGTCTTGAGATTGTACATAGATCGCCAGTGAACAAACACAGGCGATCCCATTATTGAATTAAGTGGATCGCGTGAGCATGGGAGAAACGCATAAGTAGGAAGTCTCGTGATGTCAAACTGATCGCTATTTCTACTCTATCCTCTATTATTGTACGGACCGCTATTCTCTTCTCGGATCAATACCGTGGATAACTTTCAAGTGTGTATTATCGAGCAATTACTGTTAGAGCGAGATTATTCGAAGGCGTCTGACACTAGTATTGTTCAACGGCGTACTATAGTTGTATCTGCGATTACAAAGTCTCTACTACAACGAGCATTACGAAAGTGACAACGAGTATTCGTTGACATCACAGAAGTAAGAACAGCATACAGTAATCGCTATCAATTGACTTAAAATATTTTTGCCCTTCCTTGCCTTTAAAAGAATGCCCTGTGCCGTGCTGATGTTGCTACATGCCTTACTTCTTGCCTATCTCACACTGCGAATTTTTCTAAGCTCTATACTAAACATTAAATCTGTTACGAAAAACGAACTAAACAAAATAAACACAAAACGATCAGCTTTAAAAAAGAACTCGTAACTGAAAAAACCGAATGAAAAAAGAATGTTAACAACAAATACTTTTTCACACCCAACCCAGTTCTGCGGAAGCAGAATCAACGTTGAGTTTAAGCAAGCGAATGGGCCAATTGGAGTAAAGTGCCATGCAGATTTAAATTTTTCCCACTTGTGACGAATGTAGCTATCGATTTTTTTTGCATGCTAGCATGCTAGTTAACATTAGTGTCAGTCAGCTGTTGGCTCTCACGCTGGCCAATAGAATCTTCTTGCCTATTCGAGGCAGCCAGCTATTGGCTCTCACTCTGGCGAGTACAAAATGGCCGAAAACTACATGAAAACTGCCGTAGAAGCATGAAAAAATCGATTATTTTCACTATCGATGGGAGTTGGGAAATGCACAGTCAGTCTTTGTCTTCCTGCTAACTTTGTGCATGTAAATTTTGGTGCAAATCCGTCGAAAATTGCGGCCGTGCATTCGTTACACACACACACATCCTGCCTTTTATAGATAGATATTTTGCAAGTGTCCAAATACATCTCTCTCTCTCTCTCTCACTATTTTCTTGGTTTCTGATAATAATTTTCTCTTTGGTAACAAAGAAAAGAGTACAGAGCTGCTACATGACATCTGTCCTTCTTTACGGCGAATTTTGTACGATCTCCTCAACGATGAGGAAGAGACTCGAGGCAACGGAGGTATGGTTCTACAGAAGGATGCTGAGGATAACATGGACTGAGCGTGTGAGCAACGATGAGGTTTTGGAGAGGATGCAAACAAAGAAGAAGCTTATACTTCAGAAAGAGGCAGCTGAAATTTCTGGGTCACGTAATAAGAAAGGAGGGCCTGGAGAATCTGATACTCACAGGTCGAATAAAGGGACAAGAGAGACAAGGGAAAGCAACACATGACATACCTACCGGGCTTAAACAAGTGGATGAGAGAACAGGGCCTGGGGGAGGTAGCAAGGGGACAGAATTTATTGAGAGCTACAAGAGATAGGGGTAGTAGAAAGACATGATCGCCTACGTCCTGAAGAGACACGGTACATAGAAAGAAAGAAGGCCTGAGTACTTTTGCCTTTTTATAGAGCAGTTATCAAAATGTTTCGACACAGTTTTTGAAAGATGAAGCTGGCAAAACGCAAAGCAAAAACACTTTGATAATAGCTTATGAAAGCCAAAAGTACTGAGACAATTAATATTTTAAATTTTCACTTGAAAGCAGGAAAATGGTTTGAAGTATAATAAAACGTACATAAAAAACTTCTCACAAAACAATGTTCGTTTGTCGTTAACCTGACTTATATAGTGTAAAAATATGAATCAACTCTTCATGTTTCAAATCTGAAGCAATCAACAGTCAAAAAAAAATAATCACTTTAGGCGGGGAAATAGCATTACTACGCAGTACTCATTTCTATGTATACTCTCTCTCTCTATATATATATATATATATATATATATATATATATATATATATATATATATATATTACAATGAATCATTCATACAAAAAGTAGATTAGTAAAGTTAATGATACAAAATGGAGAAATCCCTTCGCTAACAAAATTTTAAAGGTGTATTAAGCTACAAATCACTCGATGAATGTTATGATCCTTATTTTTAAAAATCATAAGGTGTATCTTTAAAAATCATAAGGTGTATCTTTAATATGCAAGTGCTTTCGACTGTACATTCAGTCATCTTCAAGCATGGAAATTATTTTTTTTTTTGCTAAAATTCAGGTAGCATTTTGTAAGCAAAGCGATTTCTCCATTTTATATCATTAACTTTACTTAATCTACTTTTGTGAATGACATATAATATAAATTGAAAAACACCACACACACACACACACACACACACACACATATATATATATATATATATATATATATATATATATAAACTAAAAAACAATCCTAAGGAGCCAGGCAAACCTACCTAGGTTTCACCTAAACGGACCTTCAGGGTAAAACTGCTGTTTTTGCTCGGAACTTAGTGTATTGAGCTCTTAACGTCTTTGTATTTTTTACTCGTTTTGGGTTTTTTCTTTGGACTTGGAGCTCAAGCACTTGAAGAGAGGATTCGTACAGTGTTATGTTCTTGGTTCTTTCTTTTTGTTACCAATTTTTCCCCGGACATCAATTTGTTATATTACAAGTTGAGCCAACCGAAGTTTTTCAAAATAAGTATTGCCATTCCTATATATTATATATATATATATATATATATATATATATATATATATATGTGTGTGTGTAATGAATAGAGAATCGTTATAAATTCATTCGGTCAGGTTATAATTTATTTCGTAGACCTCAAATGTCCATTACTTCAGACCAGTTTTACATAAATAAATGGAGTTCAATTTATTCAGACACAAGGGAAAGGAAAAGAAGAGAAAGAGAGAAAAATGCATATTATTAGTTCATGAATGATAATGTAACGTCAGTTTAAAAATAAGTTTTAAAAATGACAGATGACCTTAATACAATGCTGAAAAAAAAAAACAGAAACCGCAACGGGGAAAAAAAGGCGTGTCCACTCCAGTCAGGGGTTTCGGGGGTAAGACGCACTGACCCTAATTCTCAATATCATAGATAGATCTTTTATAGATATAGGCAGTTTGGACATAAACACTTCATTGTCGTTTTTACGCTTCAACACCATGTTCAAACAGAGTTTGAAGATAGCATTGAAACTGTCACCATGCAGTGT